CATTCAAAATGATAGCACCACAGGCAAAGGGTTTCCACCCTTAGAGGGACTTTAGCTTAATGTGCACTAACATGAAAAGCATTGTTGAGTAAATTACATATCACTGTTTTGCTTTGAGATGATTATTACGATTTGCGAGATTAAGAAAATGCTGGCCGTATAGTCTCGCTAATTGCTGTATTAATGCTGATTCAAGGGCCTCTTACTTTGAGTGTTGGCTTTAACTCGAAATTACCATAATAAGGCAAATGGTTCAGTGTAAAGTGTAAAAAAAAAAAAAAGAAAAAAGAAAAAAAGATGACTTCATAATGAGCTTTTATGTACTGCTGCTGATTCAATCACTACTTCAGAATAGTCACCTGTTGAATCACAGACATATTCTACTTCACAATTGAGAACATGGCATTTACCTGCTTTACATTAACATCTACTTTCAGTTCCTGGAAAACCCTACGTTTTTCTTATGTATGGCTTATAACTAATCTATAAAGCATTGGTGAACGTTGAGATTAACAGTTCAATCTTGACCTTAGAAATTGCAGCTGATGAAACAATCTCAAGGTCAAAGCCTATTCCGGGGCTTTTTACCATATCACATGATCTTCATCAGCAGATAAAGCTTGCATATTTGTCATGGAAGTGTAAATGTCCTAACTTTCCATCATTTTGAGGGTTTTTAAGACTTCTCATGCATGTTGACATAAAGGTGAAGTTCATTCCTTACCACTTAAATTGCAGTTGACAAAACAATCTCAATTCAAGGTCCACTTACTAGCTTGTTCCAAGACCTTTTGACCAGTGACTATGACCGCTGAAACAGTTTTCATCAGTAGATAGACAAACAGATATAAGAATGTGTGAGACATCTGTTTCCCATTTCAAGGGTGTGTATTTTAAGCATGACCACACAATGATTCCTGAACCTTTTACTGCGAGATCATATTGAAACCATAACAACAATGGTCCCTAGTATTAAAGATCAAGTCCTTGTAACCCAAAATGAAGATGTTTTTCTAAACTAACTTATTTGAACAGAAACCATGATCATGTTTTTGAGCCTAAACTTAACCAGACTTTAAGTTAAATTAACCTGTCCGGGACGTCAGGTCAGAAAATGCTTACATGATGCATTCTGGAGGACATGAACAATGTACTTTGACATTTAATGTGGAGGACTTGGTGTGAGTGGACCTTCAGTTGAGACTGCTTTGTCAATATCAACTATTATACATTAATCAATATTAAGCATTCACCAACAAAGCCTATTTTCATTATTGATCAGCCTGCTGAATGTACGAACGTAATTAAAAATGTTTATCACTAATTATTGCATATCTCAGCTGCACAAATACTCCAGGATAATCACTTTCCAATTAGGCTGTATAAGACAAAAAAACAAAACTCGATATCACTATAGTTGCTGTTGATCAACTAGTTGATAGTCTACTCAATAGTCAAATCATATCAGCTCTAGTACCAACTCATAAACCCTTTAGAAACCCTTTACAAGAAAAATCATTATCAGATGAGGTGACATGAATGCAAACTTTTTTTAGTAATTAAATGAGATTACCTTGGCATAGTCAACTGAGCAGACCTGACAACCCTAATGCATACACACACACACACACACACACACGCACGCACACACACACACACACACACACACACCCACACACACCCACACACACACACACACACACACACACCCACACACACCCACACACACACACACACACACACACACCCACACACACCCACACACACACACACACACACACACACCCACACACACCCACACACACACACACACACACACACACCCACACACACCCACACACACACACACACACACACACACCCACACACACCCACACACACACACACACACACACACACCCACACACACCCACACACACACACACACACACACACACCCACACACACCCACACACACACACACACACACACACACCCACACACACCCACACACACACACACACACACACACACCCACACACACCCACACACACACACACACACACACACACCCACACACACCCACACACACACACACACACACACACACACACACCACCCCATCAGATAATAATATATAATGATATATAAATTCAAAAAACAACATTTTTGCTGGCTTCAGCTTTAAGGTCTGACCTCCAGCATGTGTGAGTGCATTAGTTGAAACGTGTGAGTAAAGGTGTGGGTGAGAGACAGAGAGTGAGAGATAAGAGGCCGGTAGTGGCTCCTGACTGAGAAGATGGACTGTTATGGCCTCATTGATCTAAATCTCTCACAGGGAGCCCGTTCCAATCAATACAGAGAGAAGTGCTGTTTGGACCACCGCCCCTGCAATATCTGCTCTGTCTGTCCCTCCTTCTCTGTTTCTCACTCACAAAGCATTCACACCACCCACTTCATTCCTCTCAGTCTCGCTCACAAGCAAATATTTTATACTTTTGTTTGGCTCTTGTTGGCCGTCCCGCAGTGGGAAAACAACAATTTTCCAGATTGGGCTGCTGTAATTATTTGTCATGCAACCAAGGCGAGTGTAAGGCTGCCTGCCATCACAAGGACCTTAACTGAGTTCACCCTTTCTGCTTGCCACCACTGCAGAACAGTCTGTCTGTGTGCCTGGCTTTATTTCTACTGCTTGTGTGCATCAGAGATGAGACAAAAGTTAGGAAGAAAATAATGTTGGAGGTGGAGGAAGGTGCACGAATCTTGTGTAGCTGCTTGTGTACTAGTCACAAAGTGGGTCCACAATACTCCTCATAAAGCCACAGTCTCTTGAGAGAGAATGTGTGTGGGAGGCACACGAGGGTAGAAGGGAGGAAATTAAAAAAAGAAGAGAGGGTGAGAGCATATGTCAGGTGTGAGTCTTTACATGAGGAGAGAAAAGAGACGCGAGTTGATGCAAGTGTGATGCAAGTGTATGCATGTGTGTGTGAAGGTGAGAGTGTGAATAAGAGTGTCCAGGGGACGCGGCAGCACCGTCACGTCCTGTTAGGAGCCCTTTCTTTGGTTAAAGACACTGGTGAATTGAGGACAGCCGACTGCTTTTTGTGTGTGTGTGCGCGGCAGAGGGTGTTTGCCCACTGTTTCGTCTCACCTTGTGTCTCAGGTGGGATGTGGGAATGAGATAGCGGCTCTCAATGGGCTGCAGACAAGCAGATGGAAAATAAATCAATAAGAAAGTAGCAAGGCAAGAAAATGAGGGAAGAAAAAGAGACGGAGGGAAAACAATTTTAGGTGCTGCTGCAAGTTGAAGAGGCTGGAAAATCCCTCTGGTGTTTGTTGCCACACTAGTCCTTATATTAGAGTAATGTGTGACCATTTTGAGGACAGTCAGTCACTTCATTAGAGATGATTCAATACCTACTTATAACAGCAGAATAGCACAGTCACACTTTGGTAGTCAAAAGTAGTGAGAGATAACTATAATAAATACATTTTGATCCATATAATACATTTTGAAAGTTGGGAGAAGTTCATTAGCTGAAGATTAATTGTGCACACAATTAGTGGAATTTTGAGCAAAACAGATTTGGTATATTTCCATCTAACATGTATCCTGAGAGGTAGTTAAAGCTGCACCTCCTGGGAGAGGCAGGGCAAGATGCTCTTTAGCATATAATTGCTTCATTATGTTCACCAGCAAGTTGCTCAACGTTGTCTGGTGCTGGACAGGTAGCATAGTGAGTTTATTGAAGCTTTTTTTTTTTTTTTTTTTATTGGAACAGCTGCCTGCTGTGGCTGGAAGTGACACTAATGAGATCGACGAGAACCAAAACATTAAAGTTGCAGGTCATAAAACCAAAACAATGAGCTGAATGGCGCTAACACGCTCCACAGAGAATGAACTTGCTATGAATCAAACCTTTCACATTACACATACTCATTTGAGCCACTCTTCATATAAAAAAACTTATTATTGCAGCTTTAATCTAAAGTGACACTACACCAATTTTAAAGATTATGGTCAGTTTACATGTCACGAATTAATAAAATTAATCTATGAAATTATAATTTAGTATGTCCATTTCTATGTCATGTTCCCTTCTCTTTAAATTGTTAGGCCAGAGGAGATGTCATGTGCTATTTAAGTCTTTCTGGATATAATTTGGGTTTTTTTTTTTGCCTTTTGCCTTTTTTGTGATCTCTGTTATTGTTTGATAGACAAATTGTCATAAATTGACAGTGACATTATCTCTGTGGTTTTGGCAGATGATATCATGCTAACTATAAATTATGTGCTTTCACATGGCCTGTAAAAGATAATAAATGTGGTTTGGGTTCAGCAGCAATGTTATTTCCACAGAATACACATAAGAAATTGTTTCTTTGTCACTGGTGCATGGATAGAAGATTTCAACATGTTTGGTTTGAAGTAATTTGTAGCTGACTAGGAGGTTTTATGAGTATGGACACTACACATTTCAGAGAATGACTGCTCTGCTGGTGCATTTTAACTGTCAGTAGGTGAATAATTCACACCAAACAGACATTAGCTATTTTCATTGGTTTGTTTTGGTCTATTTTGACACCCAAATCCATTTAAGCCACATTTTGAATATTAGTGGTTAGAAATTTTAAATGATTACAGTTACCAAATTCAGATTTCCATTCTCTTTTGCTGTCTGACATTTTGGAATTACCTTGTAGTATGAAAAAAGAAACAAGATCCAGACTGTGTGCAGAATGAGCACAGCTTGAAATACCACTCCATCTCAGCAGAGACCTTTGATGTCTGATGTTCTTTAATGAAACATCTCGCTCACATCAGAGCACCCTATTAAATTCTACTCATACAGGGAGACAGAGGGAGAGTGAGATTGAGAAAGCCAGAGCAAAGGAGCTCTGACCTTTTGTGTGCATGTGTGGGAGCGCGTATGTGTGACTGAGGAAAAGACAAGGAGGGAATGAAACATCAGTGGCGTCAAGCACACACATGAAGATCACACAAATGACAGAGAAAGAACCACACTTCAAAAGCACTTTATTAAGCTTTTTAAAAAAAATAGATCACATAACTACATCACAGTTTAATTTATGTGTTTACGACTTTAAGTTTTTATTCGGTCTTGCTGTGCCCTCCATATTTTAGTAAGGTCGAGCTGAAATTCAAATTAATTTTTGCTAGAAAATCAGTTAACATATCTCCCTGGTGTTTGTTGTGATTTGTGTAGCCTATATTAGTGTCCTCCAGGGGGCGAGATTTTTTTGGTTCCGCTAAAAAGATATCGTAATATAACTTCAGATCCAACACAGACAGATAACGAGTTTCAGGATCGATGTTGCTTAGTAACATCTGTGATTTCAGCAGTCTTTACTCTGTGACTCAAAAAAACAAAAAATAAAAATAAATAAATGACTAAAAATGTCAGTGACTCCTCATGGTAGTTAGCTACTTCGAGTTGTGATTGGCACAGTCACATGAGTCCCATGCTGAGGTTACAGGACTCCCCTCTGTTGTGAGTTTTACCAGTCTTGTCATTTGCATTTACCACATGAAAAAGAGTCTGCTAAAGCTAGCCAAAAGCCTTCCTTTATATAGTTCAGGGACACACTAGTCAGTGTACGGGAGCTTTAGGTGTACAGTGGTAAAATAGTATTAGCAAAAAGTAATAAATGTTCTTGTTAGTGGAAGCTAGTTAGCATAGCTTGCTAACTTACAGTAGTGGAAATATCATTAAAATTTGTAACTTCTTACACAAAAGCAAAGGGAATTCAAATTGCAGCATTTGCATTGTCAGTCATAAATTGCTAAATCCCCCTTGCTTCTTTGCATGTGTGTGTGTGTGTGTGTGTGTGTGTGTGTGTGTGTGTGTGTGTGTGTGCGCGCACGTGCACAAGGATTTAAAAGCATCTGAGTCTTTGAAATAGCATCATACTGTAAGTTGACAAAAGTGAGTGCTGAAGGTGAAGCATTACTGACATCCAGAGCCAGTATTAACCGAACTGGAGAGGATTCAAAGAGAGGACGGGGCTTTTATGGAGTGTGCGTGAGAGCGTGTGAGACAGAAAGACCTTACATTACCGAGAGATAGAAGCTGCATGTGTGAGCCTGTCTGTGCTCATCTATAGATGCTTGTGTTAGCAGTGTGTTGGCTACAGTGAGAGAACATCTGCAAAATGGCAGTCATGAGGCTAATTGTGATAAAGCTAACTCATCACATTGGCACCTTCACAGACACATTAACACACATACACACTCCAATGATTGCAAGTCTCAAACGGATTGTGGAAAACACACTCAACCCTCCCCACACACACACACACACACACACACACACACACACACACACACACACACACACACACACACACACACACACACACACACACACACACAAATCCCTAACGTAACGTATTATTATCATGTATGCAGTTTGATATAGTTTCATTGATGCAGGACAAGCAAAAAGAAATGCTGCTGGTTTTCTTCTCCAGACAAGTCAAGACCAGCTTGACCTACAACTAAAAGGAGCTAAATGAGGCTAATTTCAGAGCCTTACAATAGATTATCTCTAATAATGTTGACAAATGCATAATTCTGGCTAATCCCAGGTGATGCCTGAATTGTCTGTAGTTTTTAGCCAGAGAGGAGCAGAGCTCAGAGCCACAGGTGCAGTGCAGCAGTGCTGAGACACACCAAATCACTTAGCAGCCACTTTGCCTTATTACCCAGAAGCCACCGGGGTCCTGTTAGTGTATTAGCAGGGTATTCAGCTCTTTTCATTAGTGCCCCTGGCTCATATCTGTTTTCACCTGGGTCACAGATGAAACAATTTTCCCCAAAAAGAGAGGATCAGATTGCATGTTTTTTTTGTTTTTTTTTTTTTTGTTTTTTTTTTTGCAGTCCTGGCATTTTAAGTCTTTTCAGTTTGTCACTGAACTTCACATGCATTCTTTTCTTCATCCTTACAAAGCTGTATCTCCTTGGCTGCCTCTCCTCTCTGTATAGGGAGAAATCCTATTTGAGTTCTCCTTCATGGCAGTATGGAAATCTTTAGCTGATTGTTGTGGCTGAATCCAGCTCAGTCCAGTTCATCTCTGTTTTATGTGGCTGTGTGAACACCCAGGCTGCTACTTTTGCGGTCTTCAGAAACGTCTCTTCGCATCTTCATCTTTCCTTTTTTATGGCTGGTGGTGGCAGCTCTTCAACTTTAAGATTCATCCCATCACTTCTTGTGCAGAGAGAGGACTTCCTGCACGTTTCATTCAGGCTAACACATTAAAGAGAGATGGGATGCCAGCATCTGGGGTTTACACTGATGTGATGCATGTGTTTTTTCCAGGAGAATCTTGCCAAGTGCAACTTTGTGTTTTGTTTTCTAGCGGCTAAATATCCCATCCAGCTCTAAGTCCACTGAGCAGTACGTGCTTGGCTCCAGGGCCCGCAGTGTGCAAAGGTCTTCAAACACACACTACTGCTGCTGCTGCTGCTCCTCGATACCGCGGGCAAACAGCCTGATCAACTGGCACTGGACACTGCAGAGAGAGAGAGAGTACACACACACACACACACACACATAAATACACACACACACAACGCATCATTTAGCCTGAATAACAAACCATCAACTTAATGACTATGCTCATTTCAATGACACTTTACTGTCCATGTGGCAGATGTAAAAGCAATGGAACGGCACCCTTGTGTGCAGACTTGACACGCAAACTTGAAAGTGAGACAATCTTTGTGGTGTGTAAAGTATAAAGACCTTTAAAGAGCCGCTATAACAGATGTTATAATACAGATGGGGCTGACACACATAACAGATCCTGATGCATACAAGGTAAAAGTATACTAGTATACTATAAAAAGTAGCAGTGAACAAGCAAGATGGCTGCTATTTGACAGTATGTTGTATTGCCTTATATTTCCAGAATGTTATATATCACATGCACCACAAAAACACCAAACATTCTTTACTATAACTCTAAAATCAAGGGAGCAGCATATTTTAGGTTCTAATCACATAAGTGCACCCTAACTTGTTTCAGTTGTTTGGTTCAATCATTGTGGCACCTTGAGCTTCACTTCCAAATGTGTATTTTTTAACTTTAAAAGCAAAATTCTTTCCTTCGTTCTTTTTCTTTCTTACTTTCTTTCCGTTTCGCCTGGGTTATTACCATTAATTATCTGAGCAGCACACTGGCTGGCTCACTCCAAGAACGATTAGCAGAGAGGAAGAGGCAATAAAAGGACGGACTTCTGCTTTAATTAAAGGGGAGTAGCCTTTTAACATGGGGAGGGCCATTAAATTAGCAACATTACAGCGCCATGCATCATTGGCAAAGTACAATGGAGCATGAAATAAATGATGCGTCAAACTGTGCCACACCGGCTATATAGAGATCTGATAGTCGGGGGAAGGCTGAAGTGTGGACAGGGCCAGAATAACGAGGGTGGGGTGGGGGGTGGGGGGTGGCAATTCCACCGAGGTGCCAAGCTCATCCGGCAGGGAACAGGGAAAGAGTCTCCAGATCAGACACTGTTGGACAATAGCAGCGCTAATGGCACTGCTGTTCTCATTTCTGTCAAGCCAAGCAGGAGAACTTCTATATTACCAGCTAATACTAAGCATCAAGAAGAGGCGGTAGTTTGGCATTTGATGATCTACAATTACATCAACATGCCAGTGTTGTGCCAGTATAACCAGAATAGGAGTCTCCAGCCATGCTAGCAGCTCTGTGAGACTGAACTTAGGCACTGCTGCCGTTTGAGCTAAATGCTAACATACCCACAATGGCAATGTTACTTGATAGCTGGTATAGGATTTAGCATGTTCATCATCTTATTTTGCACATAAGCATGCTAACACCTGCTAATTAGCAGTAGTGTAGTGGTATCTTGGTAGGTGGGTATACTGTAGCTTCAGTGGACCCACAGATTACTGAGCATAAAAGCCTGTGACATGATTGCCTGTAGTCCGGAAGATGTGCACTGATATGTATCTGTAGCTGTTTTTAGGTAGGTATACTGTAGTGTAAATCCTGCCCATGGGTGTCTATATACTTTAGACTTGCATACGTGCGCCAGTACACCCACTAAACCGAAGTATTGGACAAATGAAAAGTTGGATAATGATGCTACATGAAGTAGCCAAAAGTCATAAATAATAATTCTCTGAGCAACACGAATCTCTGTAGAGAATTTCATAGCAATTCATTAATTATTGAGATATTTCAGTTTAGATCAAAGGCTAGTGTGGCTAAAAAACTGTATGTGTGAGTTTTCCTTCAATGTGAGGTGAACACAGAACATGATCTATTCCCTCTTAGGCTTCGATTCATAACACTCAGAAGCATTTTAGGGCAATTTAAACCAACATTATAGCTTAACACCCAAAAGAAAAGACCGTGAATACCCCACCATGGCGATGCAGTAGATATGAACTCCAAGAGTATTTCAACACTTCTTCCATTATACCTGCCTCTACAATATTATTTGCACAGATTCAAAGCCATTTGGCGCTCGTCATCTGTGCTGAGAACGACCCCCTCTGTCTTTCGTCACAGGTTTCATGAAATGGAAAATAAGTGGGGAAAGAGGAAAAGTGATTGAACTGTGTCTTTCTTTAGCGGCATAATAACGCGTTCAGTTTCACAGTTTTAAAAAGCCGTAAACATGATCATCATGACAGATAAATAACAATACATTTTCCTGTTTTTTTTCCACTGGTGGCAGTTTCTACTTTATTTTTTGACTTTCTTTAGTTTTCAGATGAGCAATTTCTTTATTTCAGATGAAGCATAAAGCTGCAAAGCATGGATTAAGTTGCTTGAACTACTGTATGTTGGGAGTTCAGTTACCTGGCTTGGATGGCAGCATGAGGCAGGATCTCCCCGTCGCAGGTCCAGCTGCTTTGGGCTTTGCTGTAGTTGCAGGTCATTTGGCCGGAGCATATGGGACCGAAGCCCTTCTTCTTCGGGGTCTCGCTCAGGTCCTCTAGGGAAACCGGCTCCTGGTGGCGCGGCTGGAAACGAAACGTCCTCACCCGGTGGACCTCCACAAAGGAGTGGTCAAACTGGGGGGGGGGGGGAGGGGGGGGGGGGGCAGAGGTGGATGAGAAACAGATGAAAGAGAGGAGGGGGAGGGGGAGGAGAGATGAGCGGATGAAGGAACAGATGTGCCCACAGATGGTGCAGAGGTTAAAACCCTACTGTCTCGAATGACTTGAAGTCAAGATGCAGTTCAGTTATACGGCACAATAACAGAGAAGTGATGACGGCACATGTGCTAAAAGATGTAAGAAAACTTGGTTTGAGAATATGTTACATAAACTTATAATTTCAAGATTTCATTTTAACAAGATTAAATTTTTATTTTTATTACTGAGCAATGAAAAGTTTTCAGTGTAGTCTTGCTACATTTTTCCTCTTCCATTTTGGATCCAAAATTTAGGGAAAAAATTAAACAAAAAACGAATGCATCAAGTGTCAACTGTCACTGTATCTGTCTTTGGTGGATGAATCACACGGTCACTTTCGAAAACAACATGAACTTTTTGAGCATTTAAACGTCTCACATTGAACATAAACAACTTATTTTTATACATTAAAAAAGCACTGAAAAGAGGCAGTGGAATATTTGTCTGAAATATGATGATTGTATTGCAAGGTAAAATGATTCTTGGCATGTCATTCTTTTTGAGTTTATTAGCTCCTGGTGGGTGAGGTAAAAAGTTAATTTCTCCTGTATTGTCTTTTTATGGACTCCTACTGATTTTATAATGAAAAGCAAAACTACATGTGGGCTTATGCTTCCATCTCGCCATTTATGAAACGGAAAACAGCAAAACAAGAGAAAAAAATGGGAAAAGAGAATTAGAAGGAGAGAGAGAAGAGGTCAGATAAAATGGAGGTGCATGAAAACTATGTAAACGGCCGAGGAGCGAAAGAAGAAGAGAGAGAGAGCGAGAGATGAAAAGAAATTATTTTGTCAAAATCCCCTTTCATCTCACTCAGTGTCACAGAAAGGTTCAGCTCTGTCCGGCACACTATTTTCTTCGACTTCACGGGGTGCCACTTTCTCTCTATTCTCTTTTCCTTTCTTCTCCCCTCTTTTTCTCTTTCTCTCTCTCGCTCGCCACCTTCCGTCTCTCCCCTTCTCGCCCTCTCTCATCCCGAAAGCGGAGTGACAGCCATTTATTTCACATCAGACCCACTTTATGACTGCAGCCGCTTTGCATTCAAGCTGGACGGTCTGCCTAAAAGGCTTTCTGACAAGGCCATGAATACACTTAGTGGCTCCTCACTCCTTGTTTCTCTCCGCTTGGCTGGACAGTGATGCTGATATTAAGTGAACTCTGATGCAAAGTCCCGCTCGCCCTACTCATACGACTACTTGTCTACCACAGTGTGCTGCAAGTAAAGCAGCCACGACGGCCTGAAGGTAGAGACGCACCAAATCGTGACGTTTCACTGTGGGCCCTCGAGACACTGGATGTGATCTGCAGACGATGATGTGATACCACGGTAAAGCAAAAGTGTTAACCTGCTGGTGGCATCTAATACTTGCTGAGATATTTCTGTCCGGACCAAAGCGGACCAACTGATCAACGCCGCCATCCATGGATCCGATTTTAATCTTGTGTCTTAGATGGATACTGTAGCCTCTTGCTGGTGACTCTGGACCACAGAGGTGGGAGTAAGTCACACATGTGCAAGTCCCAAGTTACTGTAGTGACAATGAAGCGAGTCAAGTCGAGTCATTGCTCAGAGGAAGCGAGTCATGGGTCAAGTTATACGAAATTCTAACGATGTGGTGTTGCTCATTTATTTAAATCAGTTTAAAGATGGTGGTCATGAAAAGTTTATTTTATTTTCTACAGGGATGAAAACTGTTGCAGCTGACACCTTTTTATAAACCTGACATTTTGTGACATTTACATCTCCGTGTGGAAGCTGCAAACTTCTCTGTCCTCCTGTAATCCAAATTTGAGTATTTTTGGATTTAGCCCCTCATCATGACAGCTGGTCTGTGGGCATCACACAAGCGATCACTCCATCATGTTTCAAGAACAAAATGTAACTTATGTGAAAGAATATATCTAGAAAATGCAAATATTTCATAAAAAAAAAAGAACTCTTTTCAAGTCATCTGTCTCAAGTCTAAGTCTCAAGTCATGAATACCAAGACAAAGTCTTTAATATTATAAAAGAGTCCTATCTAGACCTGCTCTATTTGAAAAGTACCTTGAGATAACTTCTGGTTTGGCGTGATATAAAAAGTCTTTTATGAATGTTAGTAAAGAAGGTCTCAAGGCCTCAAATTTGTGACTTAAGTCTGACTTGAATCAAGTCATGTGACTCAAATTCCCCACGTCTGCTGGACTGCAGCAGCTTCATGTCACAAGAGCAGCAAAGTCTTTCCTCAAGTTGCTAAATTTCACTGTTAATAGCAACAGCCGCTGCACACTTTTCTTTACATAACAACTTGTCTTTTTCCTGGTCTGAATCCTATTACATTTAAAGCTGCAAATATATAATATCCTAATCTGATAAAGCTTTATTTCAAGAGTGATACAAATACTGTGTGCTGAAGTCAAAGTGTTGATCTTAGAGTTGGAGCTCACCTCGGGATGTCAGCGTTGGCTCAAAACACACTTTGCAATTTCACACTTTTACCAGACAGCTACTGAAATTACTTACAAGATTCTTCTAAATGGGATAAACATCCCGAGGTCCTTCCTGAGGTAATAATTACTAATCACCAGACTTCCCCTGGTAATACTTGCACTATCCTGAGAGGGCATTAGTCTGGTATCAGCCTGTTCTCCCATACAGCATATCCCTGATGCAGCGATTACTGGTGCCTCTCCGGACCAGGGTGGAGGTTATTTATGATACGTGGGAAGGCACAAGGGCTAAGGCATTTGAACTAAAGTGAACCATAGTTGGGAAATTGAGCGGAGTCAGCAAACGGAGGTGCTAGCACAGCAAGCAGGCTCATTCACAGATTTAACACACTCTCAATTCATCAGTGTACAGATTGAGAAACTCTTGATGCTGAGCACTAAATTCTGCTGCACAGGAGTTTTTTTATTTTGGAATGGATGGATAAAATTGTCTCAAAAGTTTTGTGGGTTTTCTCTCTGTTTCTTTTTTTTTTTTTGGTGATTTCTTCACTCTTTGAAGAGGAGGCTTCTTTCATCCCAGCTGGATCCAAATCACATGAATTTTCCTGAATCATTTCAGCTCTGAAATATGTTGACTCATGTACCTGACTGTAGAAGTACAAGAACGAGGGAGAAAAAAAAAAAAAAATCACACACGAGATGAGTTAACACCACCTCCCTCCTTCCTACCTGGTCTTCTTTGTTGGTGTGACGAAGCAGGTGTCTGAGGAAGTCAAAGCGGGAACACTTCCTGACGAGGATGAGGTCGGTGGTGCCGTCGGCGAGGTGGGCGGAGGGCGACAGGCCTTTCGGGCTTCGGGGACACGCACAGCTCATGCTGGCTGCATTAATGGCAATGAACTTTCCACGGATCACACTCCAACCACTGCTGCTATCTGAAACAGAGGAGTCAAGAGTTAAAGGATTAGATTAGATTAGATTAGATTAGATTAGATTATGTAAATTCTCTAAACTACAAACAGAAAACCAGTAAGTATTTTCAGCACTGTAAAGATAACCACCAAAATCTCATGAATTCAGGATTTAATATTTGAAATCCAGTCCAAACAAAGAACTTTAAAATAAAATATTGTCCTATTAAACCTCTTCAAATTTGTGCTTTGAGGTAAGTTTCCAGTGTTTTCATTTCTCGTACTTATTCTATGTTTGGTTGTGAAACCACACTAAAGAAGTCAAGTTTAAACACTTTGCGTAGGGACTCTCAGCAGCAGTACACTCGATAACTGAAGTCCAAACAAACAAACTCCCTTTTATTCAAGTGTTCTCAAAGTAGAATGAAATTTGGCATGTTCACGCAGGGAAAATGTCGAGCTTGCAACAAAAATCAAGCGCTGCAGCTGGAGCCTTATCCACTAACCATCCCTGGCCTCCGTCACTCTTCTCTTTGTATTGCAGTGTTAAAGCTCCTCCATTTGACACTGATGTTTTTTTAAATGAGGAAACCTTGTACTGCAGTAAAAATGCTGTGCTTTTTTTTTTTCCTTTTGCATTGCTGTATTCAACAGCAGTTCCATCACATTTGCAAACATGCCTTATTTGAGTTTGTTTGGAGTATTCTGCCAGACTTAAGCTACTTACTTGCACCAATTAGATAAGATAAATATGAGCTCCAAAATCCCGATTCCTTTCAGCCTCCTGTTTGGTTATTCCAGAAGTGCTGGAGCAAATCATCTGTGTACCATCAGGAATATGGTTTTGAAATCATACTGTGTATTTGGCTTTATGAGTCCTGAGGTTAAGCTCCAAGCTTGTCACACAACAGCGGTGATGCTGATGAGGGTCCATTAAGATCCAGATGTTTTGGCAGGAATCCTCAGAGCAGCTTTTACCCTCATGATCGAGCCGAGTTAGAAACTTTGAAGCCGAAATTAATGTACTAAAGCTGAATGTCTGCTGTTATGAAACGCAATTAAGTTCGGCCGGGGAAGGGTTCACCATATCTAAAGAGGAGGGAACACACAGCAGGTAAAAGACGGACTGGATTAACTTCAAGTTTTTCTTGTTATGATTAAATGCACACGTGGCCTCCAAATCTCAAATGACAGATGCGATGGCTGCACCTCACAAATCACCACTCTGTTCCTCGGAGATTAGAGACTGTTTACAAGGGATGGTCTATCAAAGACACAGCGGTATCACCCGCGGGACTGCCAGCTCCTGTCACCAGGGTGATAGTCATTGGAGTAAGCTGCAAGAAGTGATCATAGACGTCCAAATCAGCGTCTGACTGTTTTATGAGCGTCTCAGAGGGAAAATTATGTGATCTCAGAAAGCTAAACGATTCATTACCTTTCCCCCTCATTTTGCAAAAACAAACTTACAGAGGTGATAACGCGAACGGATGATAACAAGCCCGCCGAGGCTACATAAAAACAACAATGTTCTAATTGGGAAGCAGTGATTAAACCTAAATTTAAAAAACAAAAAAAAACAAAAAAAAAAACAAAAAAAAAAAAATCAAAAAAACCAAACAAATCCAACTGTGGACTGTGGGCTGTGCATTAAACGTTTCCAAATGAGTATTTGCTTTCGGAGGACAGGCTGGCTCATTTGCAGAGAGTGTGTCGTGCCTCATTGATTTAGCAGTTGTCTGAGATTTCCCCTCGCCAGGAAGGAGAAACACCCCCCCCCCCAAAAAACCCCAAAACAAACAGCAGCACTGGCGTGAGGCAAACCCCCTGTCAGAGCTGGCACAGCCAAATTTCTTCCTGATTAGTGGGAGTCTGTCACACATCATACACAAACAGGTTACGCTCGCTTTCATATTTACACAGGAAGAAAATACACACACACACACACACACACACACACACACACACACACAACACATCCACCAACACTTACAGACACACACACTCCATAGGAAGCCGCACTCCCAGATAGCCAGGCCAAGATAGAAAATCTTGAATTTAACATCACGACACTAATTAGAGAGGAAAAAGAACGCACACAGCTCATCTGCAGCTCAAAGTACACACACACAAACATGCACCATTGCACGCACACACACACACACACACACACACACACACACACACACACACACACACACACACACACACACACACACACACACACACAGGAGTCAGTTTCATCTGCCTCCAGAGGTTTGTGCTGCTGTGTTGGTGGGTTGGGAGGACTGTGGATAATGAAGCGTGTGTGTGTGTGTGTGTGTGTGTGTGTGTGTGTGTGTGTGTGTGTGTGTGTGTGTGTGGAATGGTCAGGGGGAGGGGAGGGTCGAGGGAACAGGAGGTGACGTTGTCCCACTCGTGGCTCTGGTGGACAGACACACACCAGGAACATGTAATCTGATCAAGCAGACGAAGAGAGTGGATTATGGAGATTTAGAAATCGATAGGCAAAAAAAAAAAAGGCTCCGGCGGGTGAACAATGGGGAGCTGCACAGTGTCACTAAAATCAGTTTATATTTTCTCGTCAATAACTCATCAAGAATCTCATCAAGAATTTTGCCATGCTGCGGGAGAAAAACAGCCCCGACAGAAAATGGAGATGAAGTGAAATTTGAGAAGGAGAAGATGATGTTATTTACACTCAGTCCACCTCAGGTCCTTAATCTACCCCGAAAAAAGAGAGAAATGCAAATCTCCCCTGATTTGGTTTGCGGTGTGTGTGTGTGTGTGTGTGTGTGTGTGTGTGCGTGTGTGTGTGTGACTTCAAGGAAAAAGTCAGCCAGAGTGGGATTGTCTTCTCTCCCTTTTATTTTATTTTATTTTATTTTATTTCATTTTATTTTTTTGTCTTTTCTCTCTCCATCTACAGCTTTAGAGATACTCATTTCCGCACATCTCAGTCTCAGTGTAGAAATGGTTTCAAAATAGACAAACAAGCAGATAACGAGGCAGAGAAATGATACATACACTTTTTTGTGTGTGTGTGTGTGTGTGTGTGTGTGATTAGTTTGACATATTCCAAGTAATAACCCCAAACTTGTACCTTTATCCGACTTTTCCTTCTCCTCCGACGTCTCCCACGGCTTGTCCTTTGATGAGGGCTTGTGCTGACAGACGTGGCACCTGAAATATCAGCATAACCTTGTTTTTTTTATTTATTTATTTATTTATTTTTTACAATCATCAAACCATCAGCGTCGCAGTGACATGCAAGGCTTGAACAAGCTTAAATGATTCATTAGGTGGCAGTAAATTTCAGTCCATTTCAAACTGACACACGCTGTACCTGTGTTTAGCTCTTTAAATATTAAAAGTTTTGTCAGGAATTGTTCACACACGTCTGCAGCTAGTAAGGCCTTTTGTAGTGCAGTCAAATCACTTTTTAATGGTAAAACAAGTTGTCAGGAAACATGCCGGTTTTTTTTTTGGTTTTGTTTTTTTTTTGTTTTTTTTTTTACAGATTAATGGTGTTCAGCCCCTCTTTTCGGTCCCCACAAGGAATGCAAACAATGTCTGCACCCTGCATCTCAAAAACCAAAGCACTTAGTCAAGCACTTTTCCCCGAAAAGACTGAATGTGTTCAGCCCGCAATAAATCAGATAGGATTCCTGACAACGTAAACTTACCCATTTAAAGCTCTGGCAGGGGCAACTCTGCTCCCGCACTGCATCAGATAAGTTAGCACGTTGTAAAATACTGCTGGGAAAGCTGTAGAAAAATGGATATGTCCGATGCTTTATTTACCCGGATCGACACTGCAGCTTGTCCCTGGGGTTCCCCATGTCGTCCTCGGCGGGGAGGAAGGAGACGGTGCCTTCGTAGTAGTTGTGGCTCAGGAAGGTTTTGACCCCTGAAACAAAAGCACAGTGTGGGCCACTGAACGCACGCCAATATGTTTTATATTTTTCTGTTTAATTTAACTCAAATTATACCTGACAAGACGATTAAGAGTAAAATTGACACATCTGCAAAGCTAATTGGACCACTGTTCTTTCCCTCTGGAGGCTGTGGGTTTAACTGGGCAATATAAAATCAACAAAGATTTTCGAGTTTTATTTAAAAGCACTTATTGTGTTTGTAGCACGAGATGCAGTCCAGGGACCCTATTTTATAAATAGTGTGTGCACAAAAGTTTTGTGCTTGCACCTTGTGCACGCTCATTTAGATTATTTCTACACATAGAGTAGAATTAGAGGCGCACAGGCACACCACCCCAACTCTTTCCTATGAGTGAGTCTTGATTTGTTTGTCTAGTGGATGCGCACGAGGATGCACATGCACGTGCGCTACTACACAGTGGTTTCACAGCATTCCCACTGATCTTCAGGTGGCGGCAACGAGCCATGAAATGCAGCAATGCACCGGCAGCACTGCAAGCTGGTAAACACAGAATCTGAACATGGCAGGTTTCAAAAACGCAGCTTTGCAAATATTTCACGAGGAAGGAAACGGATTCGACTTGAAAATGTAAATTTCGACGCTGCTAACAATATGGGAAAACACATCAAATGTGCATCCTGATTTGTAACTGATTGTTGTGCAGAGGTGTGAGTGTCTTTGTTCATACTGGCAGCTCGTATGTTCACATTTAGAACTTGCTTTGTGCATGCTTTCATAAATAACCCCCACTTTCCAGATCAGAATTATATCTCCTCTGTACATTCAGCCCCAGTTTAATTTAGCCTGGTTTCATAAATTGCAAGATAGGGTGGATGCCTTTGTTTAAAGCACCTCACAGAACAATGAATGCAAACATTTATGTGTGGTTCCAGTGGGAGGAGTAATGCTGCTGGTGTTCGGGAGCCTCGCTACAAACCTACTCAAGAGTTTGCAGTGAATCCATAAGCCTGAGGCTGTGTGTTAGATTTATATCTTTAATCCTCTGAAGCCTGAACCTAAAGCCAAACAGGCAGGCTCTGGGATAAACTCCAGGCTACATAACGGTAATATAAGCAGGTGTGTGGTCAAGTAACCTCTGAGGCCAGAGAGGCGGCCACAGGTAAAAAAACAACAACAACAAAAAAAAAAAAACAAGGTTTCAGTGTGTTGGCAGGTTTAGCCTGAAGTGCCACTCAAGTTTAGAGACTGATGGCCCTCATACCTGACAGGTCATATCTGGCGGGACCTAGCCATCTCTTCCTCTCGCTGTCTGTCAGCACATCTCCATAGAAACCGTAGCCGAGCAACGAGACCGAGTATCTGAGGAAGAAGTCGTTGTGGTGAACTGAACACACGTCCATCGGCTGGGAATCACCTGTTGAGACACACCCAGGAGAGCGGAGTCGTAAAACGACGCTTCCTGCGACATGCAACGCGCAAACACGAACATTCAAATCTAAAAGCAGCTGCTGTAACAATCACTCAAAGGTTGTTGTGACACAACAATTACACAACGCTGATAACCTAAGATAGAACCTGTTGGCACCCTGAATGCTGAGATAAACAACTCGTGTGCTGTAAATCTTTCAGTGACTCCTACTCACCCACAATGATGTGTAAAGCAGAAGTAACTGGATCGTTGGTTCCCACTGTGGCAAAGCAGATACAATCAGTGGACCCTGTTAGATGAGAGGCACACAGGTCGATGGTTAGCCTTTGTAGCGCTGACATGTTAAAGACACTGTGAAATGAAAAATGACCTTTTTATTAAAAAAAAATTTCAGGCACACAAAAACAAACAATTGTTTTTTTTTTACATTCTTATAGCAAACTTTTACTGTTTAAAATTTCAGCTTTGCCATCCTGCTATCAAAAAAGTCATTGTGGTGCACACAATGGAAAATCTGACCCAACAACAGTGAGAAAAACACACATAGACACCAGCTTTCATTTAGATTTGTATCAGCTTTCTAAAAACAAACCAGAATAACTTGATCATGGCACATGATTTAACACTTCCTGGAAAACATTTTTTGATAATCAGGTCAATGGTTGTTGAGACATTTGACTAAAAACCACAAAGGTGAAATTTTTTTTGAAAATGCTGAGATTATCTTATTTGTTCATTCCTTTTTTTTTGCTGGATATGTAGTAAAACTTCTCTTCTCACCCTCAGCGATGTCCCATTAGTTGCCCCACTTCTTGCAACCCTGTTTAAAGGGACTGTTTTGTAGGTAGTGTAGTTTCCCTAGTGATTATTTCCTGCTACTGTTCGTTCAACTCTGGCATAGTTTTGTTTTATCTTTATGCATCAGCGCTGGTTTGGCTGGTCGACCCATCCCAGCATGGCTGCAGGGACGGGCTCGACTGCCATTCATGTTTTTGAATCAGTTTCTTCCTGCTCCCCTGCTGCTAAAAGGAAGTGAATCAGATGCTTGATATTTTCTATCAAACCAAATTACCTGGTTTGAAAAATGGTTGGTACGACCATTCAGAGTGAACTTGAACACACCAGTGAGCAAAGCGTTATTTATATAGAACATTTCATCCGAGGTGGAAGCACAATGAGCTGCACAAAGCGTGAGTTATCACAGAAGAACTATCTGGATAGTGTAAAGAGAAAACATAAGACATAAATTAAAACAAACACATAAATGATGCAAATGAATTTTAAAAAAGGAATGAAGAAAATAAAAACAATAAGAGTAAGTAAATAAGTAACTGATCAGTAAAAATAAGATATGGAAATTAAAACTATTAAAAAGTAGGAATAAAATATAATTTAATAAAATAACAATTAGAACAATAAAATAATAAGACATATAAAACCAATAAAAGGAATAAAAAATAAAATAAAATGGTAAATTAAGACCAGAAAACCAAGCTACTGGAAAGTGAAAGTTTTCAGACACAATACAATAAAAATTGATACAAAACCACATTTATATTAGTAACATTTTTGCAGCAGAGTTCTGGTTACTTTTTATTAGTGGACTATGTGTTAATCTATCAGAAGAGACTGTCCAGGATTGTTGTCAGACTCTGCAAAGATGTTTATCACAAGTGTACAAAAGTCTTATTCATTAATCAGAAGTCAGTCATAAAAGGTTTGGCCCTTGGTAGAGTTACAAGTCTTTCAAAGCTGCCGACAAGAAAGGAGAACTCCGTTGAATGATTTTATTCGGCGGAAGTGAGGAGACGTTTCCGTCATAAAGTCAACTAATCGGATAGCTCCGGGCCCTGGGCTATTATCGACTATGTTCAGCCAACAAATGGAGGATAAGAGGCATCCCCCTGCCTCGAGAGAAATGTTGAGTTTGACATTAAATCTTTCAACTTGAGAGGTAATAGGGCTCTATCGCTCTTTTTCTGCACCACACGGCGTAATTTCAGACCTATCTGCCCTACTTTTGATCATCTTCAAGTGGTGAAATGGGCCCACTGCCACTGATAAAAGACGGGGAGAGGGCGAGGGAAAGAGGAGAGAGGAGAGTGAAATCTAACTAGCGATGTTTTGAGCCGGCTCACAGAAGCGTGACAGAGGAGATCAGGCCTGTCATTCAGCGGTGGACACAGATGAGTATGAAGATGAGCTCCCTCTCTCGCTCTCTCTCTGACTTTTTATGAAAACCACTTATCTGGCCTTTGCTTCTTCCCCTCCGAGCTTCATAATCACATCCGAACACTTTCCAATTGCTCCTGACAGCGCTGCACTGCCTGCTATTATGCTGAGCGTAAAAAAACGGTGACATATGCCATTTGACTCTTCTAAAGCTACGCAGTAAAAGCCAACTGACTTTGAATGGATTTAAGTGGCACACACAGATGTTCAATGATGTTCAGCCCTCAGATGTTCAATGTTTTATTCCCCCTTAAGTTACTCAGCCACAGTAGCCTGTTGGCACACTCAGAGGAGAGAGCATAAACTGTCACAAGACATATCCTCAGTGGAGAAGTTCCAGTTTTTATCTGTATCCCCCCCCCCCCCCTCCAAAACTGTCTCGCCAGTAAGATCGTCTTGGCAGTGAGATCATCTTTATCTCAGGGACAACAATGGAGTCTCGATGCTTTTTAGTGCTGCCTCCGAAAAAAAGGATATTTTCGCTGTTTGAATCCTCAGCACATGAATGTATTTATAGCTGCACTTGTGACAATATCATATAATGATATCAGTGAACCCTTTTGAACCAGACGAGTGCATCTTTGAACAACATGTACTTCTTGGGTTTTTTCCGTCAAAATAATCTACTTTCAGGGTCTCAGGGTTAATTGATATTCTCTGTCAGACCATAACAGATAAAACCAACAGGAGAGTGTCACGAGGAAACGCCTGTGTACAAAAGCTCTGAGAGAAGGCCATAAATGAGTTGTTGACTCTTCATTTGAGCCTCAGCATAGAGGACTATGATACCTTGATGAAGCATTTCCATGACTTTGGCAGAGATATTGATGAATATAGTGATGAAATCATAACTCACTCCCACGTGGCAAAGGTACAGTCCTTTGTAATGGGACAAGCACAGAATCAAAATTTATGGCTGCAGCTTTTGTAGCAAAACCTTAATGCCTGCTGTTGTTGCCTTTCAGCAAAAAGTGTGTGTGCGTGTGTGTGTGTGTGTCTGTGTCTGCGTGTGTCTGTGTGTCTGTGTCTGTGTCTGTGTGTGTGTGTGTGTGTGCCAAGACGTTAGTGACACTTTCCACTATCACCATTATTTCACACATTACTGCCACTTTAATAAGAAAGTTACAGACTGTCTGAGATGAATGACTGGCAGAGGTGACATTTATAAAACAGAGTGATCAGAAAGGCAAAGACTCACTGATTGTCTTAGGGCAAAACAGTAGGAGAAGGCAGGCGCTGTAATCTATAGTAGAATAAAGGCTGGTCATTATATTATTATGTATTTTTGTTATTATCAACAAATCGCACAAAAAGAACAAAACCAACAATATGTTAGTGTCCTACCCTGTCTGTGGCTCTCTGCCCCAAGCCCATTTGTTCCCACTGAAGATGTAAGTTATGCACTTTCATTAGAAAATACTCAGCAGTTTCCTTCAATAGCAGGGCACTGTTGTCTTGAGCAAAATGTTTCTCAAACAGCAGTAAATAATGCATTTGTTGGGGAATATTTTCAGTGGCGAATTAATACACAATTGGTGCTCTAGTATTTAATTCACTGTAATGATGGAAATTTTCACCTAGTGCAAAATGTGTTTTTTTAATTTATTTAATATATTTTTTCAATGTTTTTTTTGGAAGAATTCAGCTCTTCGGCACAGAGGCTTTGGCCACATAGGCAATACTAAGATCAGTTAATTGCTGGTTTTACTATAATATTGTAAATACTGCCCTTTAAGCATCGAGGCTGTGCTAGTTTTATAAAAATCACAGTTTCAATTTACAAATGAAACTGAATCTGTGACATTTTTTAATCTCAGGTTTGGTTTTGATTTTTGCTACTTAGGTGATGTTTGCTGCTTATGAACAAGAATGTCACAGGTCCTGTTATTTCTGTCTGAAACTCTTGAAGGTGCTTTCTTTTTTAAAAAAAACTAAGCTACTGCTCATCAACATGTCTGTGCTTATTTAATCTTCTTGAAGGAATGTCAAAAACCTGCTCTGAGTTTAATAACACTGTAGAGAAGTTGGCCTTGGCCATTAGAGGGTTTGTTTGATTTGGTATCATGAAGGTCCTTGGACTAAAACAGCATACCAATGACACTTGTAAACCTCTCTGGAACAGTTGTTGTATGTTGAGAGCTTCTATCCCAGCGGCACTGAGTATTCACTGATAGCTTAAAGTACCTCAGCAGAAGTGTGATGATAAGATGTTAGACCTTTACACAGTTGTATGAAAATCTTAGACATCATAGTGTTTCTCATCTTACCGTTAATTCATCTGCTTTTGTAAATAGGCTAAATTAAAAAATAAATAATAGCGTCATCGGTTATAATTGTCCTAAAAATCCTTTACCATGTTCCCAGCGGATTTTAGAACCCTTCTGCTATTACCAACAAGCTGTGCACAGGATAGCTTCATACTGGTGCACTGTATTTCTATCCTCATGAAAATTACAGTGATTTCAAAATGTCACCCAGCACGTTCCCATTTATGGCACTTGGAATGATTGACCCTCCGCAGGGCCTTAGTGATACCCCCTGCGCTGTTGCCATAGAGATTCTCTTATGTAACTCAGCAATGCGGGATCAGCGGGGCTGAAGTTGTTCACAATGGGAATCAATAACAATTCTGAGGAGAGGGACTTTGTTTTGCAGGACTGACCACTTGAGTTTTTTTTTTTTTTTTTAAACTCCAGCACCTCTCCTGTATAATTTAGGGAGAAACATGGCGTCCATCACACATTAACACAATACGTGTAGAGTACATGTACATTTAATGTAGCCCTCTATACCATCAGTCTGCGACTGCAGGACTTATTCGATTATGTTATTTTGTTTTACTTCATGATGCAGGCCAAAGTGATTTCCTACATTTCCCACAGGGAGTTTGTGTGAACTCCGCGCATTCAGCCGTGGGTTATACTGCATGTGTAGGTGGAGAGAGCAGCAGCGGTGGTGAAAGTGGAGCCAGAGTTTTTACATTTGAGAAAAAGTATAAGTTGTGTCCTGTAGGCAAATTATAATGTGTGACTTGTGTGACTTCTTAGATTATTTCACATCAAGGTGTTTGGAGCACCAAGACTTAAAAAGTTTGACTCTGTTGCGTTTGTGATTATTTTGCATTTAGATTAACTTTAACTCTGAAAAGCTTTAAAGAAATATTTCAGTCTTTATGGAAATATGACTTCTTACCCAGAGTGAGATGAGAAGATCAATATCACTCTCATGTTTGTCAGTTAAATCTAAGGCTACAGCCAGCTCCCGTTAGCTGAAATTAGCTTAGTTAACAGTTATAGCTAATTTTTAATAGCTATAGGTTATTTGATAGCTAACGGCTAACAAACATGTTAATAAGTGAGCTTTGGAGGTGCTGGTTTTCAGATTTTGTTGCAGGCCAGCTGGTTCCCCTTTTTTCCCGACTTTACGCTAAGCTAACCAGCTGCTATGGTTTTGGCCTCATACTTAATGGACAAATATGAGAGTGGTATCAATTAGGGCTGAATGATATACAAAAAAAAAAATAAAATAAATCATGGCAGATATTGCGATTCCAATATAAGTCACAATTTCAGTTGGAGTGGTAATTTTTGAATTTCAATTTCATTGAAAACAATATAAAAATGATGACAATATGATTTTTGTTGAGGCTTGGACCAAATAAGCATGTTCCTTTACGCCTGGAGAAGATTTGTAGGTCAGGGCATCTCTGTAGCAACACAATGCTTCATTTATTGTATGTTGTGACACATTTCAGCCATGTTGTGATTTTGATAACATTCTGATTGATTGTTTAGCCCTAATATTAGTCCAGGATCTAACGTGAGTACTAACTATTCCTTTAAAACTCTGAATATAATCAGAGTAACCCCGAGGTTAAACTCCTTTAATTTGACATCCCGAGATCATTTCCACCTAAACCATTGAGCAGGCACTGCTGTTTTCAAACCCTGGGTGTGTTTTATGTGATATAATGCAGAAAGCTCACCTGCAGGAATGATCCCTATGCGTAGAGAACACGGCACCAATTCAGCATCTGGTTGGTTCTGGTCCACACCGTGGTCAGTTTGGGTCCTGGTGACCAACCCGTGCAGAATCTCGCTGAACATCCCATCTCCACCAACACACACCACCCTGGGAAGATAAATGATATCAACAACTCACAACCTGCATACATGTGTCTGAGGGGTCTTTTCGTCTATACTTGACAATAACACGACTGGGCAGCAGGACTGACTTTGAAAGCCTTCAATAAATAAGAATATCACACTGTGCCACCCCGCATCACAGCCTTTAAAGTCTATCTCAAAAACCTCACAGAAATGCCCCAATAAATTTTATGAACTGAAGAGTAAAAGCATAATGGACTTTAAACCTGCTCTGCTGGACCAAATATCTGATGAACAGAAGCTAGAGTTGACAGGGCACTCTGCAGGAAAAACCTTTCATGCTATTGATGCCTTTTATGTTCAGTTATCAGCTGCATTTTGCCTCAAACACTCCCCTTCCTCACAGACTGGAGCAGCAGCATCATGTACAAGCTGAGATGAAAACATAAAATTGACTTATGCAAGTGACTAGTAGATTTTGATTTATTGTGCATTTGTTATAAGTGATTTTACAGAATGACACAACAATATATAATAAACCTTCAGTGAAATCTGTCCTTGCTTTTAGATCTTTACTGCTGCTTTTGCTACAGTTGACCACTTGATTTTAACTGAATATCTTCAACACTGGGTAGCCATATTGGCCACTATTTTAGATTGATGTTATTCCTCCTCAAAAGGACCTTTGTGTGACTATGGGGGACTGTAAATCCTCCAACATTTCACTCAAGGACTAACAAATTGGATATCTCAGACCTTTGTTCAGATAAATTTGCTATATCAGATGTTATTATAGGTCCGCACTCTTCCGTTAGTCACATTTGCTCACACTTGTTTTCAAGCATTAAGTCTGAGAGTCTTAGAGTCACATTTTCGCAACAAGCCTTATATTGATCCCATGTGACCTTCCTACATCTTCAGAATATTGCCAACTTTTTTTTTCTTCCGCAAAGCACTTGGAAACTACTCTGCACTTTTAATAAATCCCGATTAGACTGTTGCAATTCTCAATACAACATGTACTTATAAGACCCAACAGAAGATTGTATATGTTCCTAATTTTAGTATATCTACATGAGTTGTCTGGTTTTAGAGTGGGTTTTAATATGTTAATGATTCATGGAGTACCACAGGGATCAGTCCTCAATCCATTAATACTCTCTGTCTACATGCTACCTTAAGGTCAAATATTTTGAAGGATCTCCTATCTATCAGAAACAAGTCAAATATGTACCTACAAGTCACATTATGGGACTGGTTCCTGACTACATTTCTGACTTGCTGAACCCCATATGAGCCCAAGTGCAGCCTGAGATGCTCTGGTAGGTCTCGACCTGCTGGAGCACACTAGGCAAGCTATGTTTGTTCAAATCTCTGCTGAAAATTTTAGAACTGTATTTTCTTGTGCTTGCTCTCTCTTTTAATCTTAATTACTTAAAAGTTTTTTTTTACGCTATACATCTCTTGTATATATTTTATGTCTTTTGAGAAGCGCTTTGTAACTTATTTATGAAAAGTGCTAATTATAATTATTATTACTATCATCATTATTATTATTTACATTATTTGGCGCCCACACTTGAATAAGAGGTTGAGGAAGAAGACCTAACAACAGCATCTGTGCGCTACACTACCATGCAGCATGTTTATTCATGTTTATCCGCCAAATGTTAGGAGGTCCTGATCTAAAGATAGTAACACTGATCAAAAATCACTTGCCAGGTTACAGCAATCCAACTCTGTAGAAGGAAAAGCAAATCAGTGTCTAAGATCATCGCAATGACGGCGCTTGTTGAGTGTGAGAAACTCGCAGGGCTTTGTCTCAGTGATTACAGTCTGACACAACACAGATTACAACACAAAAGGACCTCATACAAACTTCTAATATGTAATAACTGATATATGGTTCATGGCCACGTGTCTCAGTGGTTTTATACAATCTGAACAGACAAGAGTTAACTCCATGTCACAGTGAAGAGCCACTGTTGAAAGCCTGAAAGCAGCAGCTACCTATCTTGAGTACTCACCCGTCATATTTATCTAGATTGGCCTCCGTTTTCAAGTGGTCCCTTGCATGATTGGCACGCTCTGTAACTATAGAAACAAATCAAATGGCAAGTGTTGGTACAATTTCAACAAAAGGGAATGCACAGACATAATGACTAGATGCTTTGTGACTTGTCTAGTACCGCAAGCATGCTATTACTGGCATTTTGAAATGACAAGGAAAAGTGCTGCACTTTTGAAACATTCACTGGAAGCCATCGTGCAGATTAATGTTCAGAAAAAAGCAAAAGCACTGTGGCACAAAACAATGTTTTTCAGCTATTGTATATTAGCCTGCAAAATGAGCCCTGGGCCCACAAAAACAAAAACAATATTTCAACAGTAAATCTGTTTACCAGGCATATAAAGTGAATAGTATTCAGTCTGATGGACCATCAATACCCCTGACTATGTGTAGCTGCAGCAAACACTTATTGAATAATAGATGTGTTTGGATACCAAAGCTTATCAACTATTGCAGCCTCCATTAAGGTGCTGCTGTGATTAATGACACTATAAGCCAAATCATATCCTTGCAAACCTGTTCGGTCCCTGCGAGAGGCCACGGTGGCTACGGAGATCTATACAGTGACCATCGGGACTCATTTTTTATTCAAATGTTGAGGAACGCTACCAACAGAGACCCACCAATCACATCGGCCGAGATGGAGGCGCGGCGAAACAGTGGAGCCACCTTCTGCTCGTAAATACGCTTCCCGCGCCGCTTTCCGCCGTAGGGATTGATGTACACCAGAAGACTCTTCGGTCGGCTGGCTGCAAAGTGAGGCAAGGGTATGAGATAGTCATTAAAAAAGATCAGTGTTTACCTTTTTTTTTTTTTTTTTTCACACAAATGCGTAGCTGACAGCAGCTTGATGAAGTTTTTATTAACCAGAGACCTTTCTCAAAATGCTCCGTCAAACTGACTGGTCCCCAAAACACGCTGCTCAAGAAATAAATGGTGTGTCTACTGACTATGGGAGGAGTGTGGAGCAATTCAGAGGTGCTGCATCATTCGGTGATAAACCTACAAAGTGCTGTGATGGAGAATACTAAATGGCTTGTTTATGGCTGCCGTGGAAGGACTGCATTTAGGACAACAGACCAAGATAGTTTCGAACAAAGCAGCTGGTCAAATTGAAAACAAATGGATTGGGATCAAGTGCTAAATGAGCACAAAGAAACATAGGGTTATATTGTTTGGCAATAAGACAAAAGTTCCATTAGATTACATAAATGGATTGCCAACGGGTGATGTAAGGTGTACTGTGGAGGACACTAACACTATTGAACACACTAAGGCTTCATCTTCACAATGAATGTCGTTAATTTTCTTGAATTGATTCATCTTTCCCGGCGAAATGGGGCCAAGTACACCATTTCAAATGGGTTAAACCCATCTTACACTCTTATTTCCACAGACTAGATACACACTAAATCCTTTAGAACCCAATAATACAATCACTTTGCAATCACATTATGAGACCCAAAGTGCAAAACACTGTATTTTGCCCTCAACTAGGTCAAAAATTTAATAAAGCTTAATGTGTTCTGACTGATGGTGTAATAACACTTTTATGGTAATGTAATATGTCAATACATCATTGAAAAACATAAACTTCATACTTAGGTTGATCATTTCTTTTCCAAACAGATGATGTAAAAATTGTGATGATGATGGCTAATGTGGTGTTATGTAAATGTAGTTTCATATTTTATGTAAAAAAAAAAAAAAATAAAAAAAAAAAAAAATAAAAAAAAAAAAAAATAAAAAAAAAAAAAAATAAAAAAAAAAAAAAATAAAAAAAAAAAAAAATAAAAAAAAAAAAAAATAAAAAAAAAAAAAAATAAAAAAAAAAAAAAATTAAAAAATGCCTGTTAATATGTAGGAGACAGATGTGCAGTTTCCTTTGAACACATCTGGACAGTAAGCCGGACTCTGAGATATCCTCTTCATGCTTCACGCACGAGCCAGCCAAAGATATTTCTATACGACACAACACTCTTTTACTGTTTTTAATATAGCTGTTTATATGTTTTATTGTACTGTTGTTGCTCGCTCCATTCTTTCTGTATGAGCCTTTAAAGAACTGTCTGGAAGAGAAATGCAGCCACGTCTATTGTAGCTTTTGCCTCTGGGCTCTCCTGAGGTTCACCATGTGATGCTACTGAATGAAATGTTTTTTTATGGACAATAATAAAGACTTTCTTTAGAGTCTGGTTAGGGAGTAGAGGAGTTAATAGGCTTTGTCTTGAATGATAACTTCATTCAAGACAAAGAGTAGAAAGAAGACTGCTTTTGTGAAAAGTAACTAAGAACATTTACTCAAGTATTTATTTAAGTACAATGTGGAGGTACTTGTACTTTACTTTAATGCAACAATATTATATGTATAATTTTGAAATGGGACATTCTGCATAATGAGAACTCTTGCTTTTGGTACTTTCGATGCTAAACCTGCCAATATGACATTAATATTGGCATCTTTAACACAACCATTGACAGCGAGGGAGGTGGAGGAAACAGTTTTCCTTGGGAACAAGAAGGACTTATATCATACATGCTGCACGGTGGCGCTGTCCCAGTGGAGTAGTCCAAAAACAAAGCAGAGAGAAACACTGCTTTGTACATCCACAGACTACATTTGCTGTCGGGTGTTAGAATTGGTTGAGAGGCCAAAAAGCCTGATCCTCACAGAACACCCTGTGCCAAGGTGCTCTGAGCAGAAGGTGCTGCACTGTTCAGCACCTTCCAGTCCATTCTCAGCCTGTCAGACAAATCACAGCAGCAGCAACTTCTAAACCACCTGGCAAACCAAACTAATTGTTTAGTAGAGGCCTAATTTAAATATTTCCAAGATTTCACAATTGAACGTATTAACTTAACAAAGACTAACTAATCTGCTCCTGAATATGCTTTTCCTACAGTTACATTTGCCCTTTGTTTCTGTGTCATGCAGATTAATGACTGTGTGCACTCTAAGCCAGACTCTTACTGTAGTACGTGGCACTTTTATGGCGCCTAGTCAATAAACTGAGTCTGATTAAGTTCTGATTAAGCCCAAAGTGCATCATCAAATCTGTTAAAGAACATCACTGAACAGTACGTACCGAGTAGTGACAGCTGCTCATTGATAACTTGGATCCACTCCTCACAGAGCGCCTGATTGGCACAGTGGAAGGTGACGTCGCTACACCGCCACTGGTGCTGCCCCGTCCTCCTCACGTATGAAACTGTGTAGAGAAATAAAAACAAAGATACTTTAAGGTCATGTCCCCTGACATAGCAACCTTTGTGTTGTGCTCTAACCCCTTACCAAGCGACACGTCATGGTTCTTAGAGCACGATTGGAAAAAGAGTGTCAAAGGAAGAATGATGCTATCATGAAAACAAGGGAATTCCTAATCTGCTTTCAGGAGATAACATCACAAGTGCTAAATAAAGCCTCAGATAGTTTTTTCCATTCATTTGCCACCCATGAACTCAAAGTACGTCCCCAGATATGAATCAGTGTGAAACATCCATCATAATGTCTGACTTGAAGAGTATTTGTGGTCTTTTCATGTCAGCAAAGAGGTATCGTACTTTGTCCATTCATTCTTACGGCACTGACTACTTTCAGCGCTACTTGGCTTTGCCACAGCACGGACTTGCGACTGAGAATGAACCCTGGCTTTATCTGTACCAGCCAGGTCAATCAGATATGTGGAATGAGTGAGAAATGAGGTTATGAAGGGAAATGAAGGAGAAGTCAGTTAAGTAAAAACAGGGCTCTGCTGATAGTCAGACGAAAAGTAGAGATGGAGTCACATAATATCCTGCTAGGAACATTACTGAAATATTTACATTAAGGACCGAAAATTCTCTCGCTAAGCACTTTGACAGCAGATTCACTCACTAAGCATTTCAAAGTCAAATTATCACACTAAGCATTTTTTTCATCAGATAGAAAAGTTAACTTTTCAGGCAAGCTCTTCAATCGAAATCACTTACAGTACCTCTTACGTACTTACAGTGGGGTAGGCAGAGAGACGCTGAGAGTGGGAGTAAAACCATCCTTTAGTAAGTTACATAATCAGGATGTAAGTGATGGGATGTGTCTTTGAAGCCAAGTTTCCACAGACTGTGGGAATGCAGTCGTGTCAGACTCGACAAAGTCTAATGCCAGTAAAAGCTCACATTAGAGAGGTCAATTTTAACATTTGGCTGCGATAAATAATGTAAATCCGATCTTGTTTGGATATAATCTAATGGCTCAAAATCAAGCATTAGCTCATAAGTCACTGGCATGCTGCCATCTTAGACCCAGTCAGCTAAGCTGTGAGGGACTCTCTTGTTAATGCATTACTTTCAGACTGTGGAGCTGTCTACAGGCTTATTTCCAGTGTCAGATCACTTGTGATTGGTGGGGTTGAACACGAGGTCTTGGCACACTTACCCAAAATGTAACTGTGATGTGGCTTTAACCTACTGCAATAAAATGAAAAGTGACAGTGATGAAAACTGGCTTCAGGCAATGTTGTTGGAAGGAACAAAAGATGCTGCATCTATTTCTTAAAGGGCCACTTCAGCGATTAAGCGCTGCACCTCCAAAGAGGATGGAGTAAGGAATAGTCAAAATCAATGCAGTAAAAGCAAATATATTCTGTCCTTTCAATCAAAACCCCCAAAATGCTTTATCTTACATTTCCCATAATGCAACTTGTCATTTCTCTCAGCCTTGACAAATCTCTTCCAGATCCACAGAAGACATTAAACAACTGTTTCATGGGCTAAGTGGTGCTCTCCCGTGACAAGTAAACTGACTTTGACAAGCGAAATCAGTGAGATGTCACTTTAAAGGCCAGTCTATGGTTTCCACATGCCCTTGGACAGATTCTGACTGTGGGGTGCGTGTGCAGACACACGTGCACACGAGAAAACATTATGGCGACCTCTGATGGCAAGGAGAAGAGCTCTTTTGTGTACTGTGTTTGGCTGAACATCAAGAACACGACAGAAAACATGAACTATGTATTGGCCTTGAGTATGTACAGTACATCAGTGCAGGTTTTGTACCTGTGAATGCATGGGGATACAGCTGGTAGCGCTGCTTTGCTTTTTTCTGACCCCCAGTCTTTGTGTCGTCTTGGTCGTCTTCTTCACTCTTGCGGACAGCCACTATTTCACACACCTGGATGGCATGACTGTGAGCTGAGGAGATGAATACATGAATTCATTAATACTGCACTTAACTGCATGAGACAATAAATGAAGCATGATGTTCTTTTGCTGTCACAGTTGGTCTGTAGCCTATGAGAACTCATTCACTTTCTGACAAACCACAGCAACTGTGAACTGCCCAAATCTCAAATCTCAAGCGCAAAGGAAGTGAATATTAAAGCTGATATAATGAATATTTTTATCATTATTAACAATGATCACATGACGATCACATGGCAACGTGTAATGTCGTGTAATGGCAGAGAATTATCATCTGACCCCACAGTTCCCCTCAGCTCTACGGGATGTTTTAGCATGTTTCAGATCATTGTTTTAGTTTTACTGTTTTTGTTCAGCACTGCTTTCATCAGACTTATTGGAAAGTCTGTCGGTGGCTGCACAAACAATTAGAAGAATGGCAGGAATAACGCGGCCATATCCCAAGAGAGCTGGGGAGTCGAATCTTTCTGTCCTTCTTTCCCACGGAAACGAGATTCAGGCTGCTTTGACTTTAGGATGAAAGACTTTGGCAACGTCTGAATGGTTTGTTCATTAATACAATTTGTCAAGAATAGTGCAAGAGTGGGTCAGCCGCCTAAAAGAGCTGCTAAGGGACATCAAAGAATTTAATAGGTATTAATTTACCATGTTTGAAAGGCAGAGATCTGGAACATAAAGGGAATTGTTGGGAAATGGTTTCTTTTTACATCCATACTCTAAAGCGATGAGAAGTGGATCTTATTATGATACAGAGTGACCGGAGAAAATCCAAATGAAGGGAATTAAAATGATGAAAAAAAAACACCTTCAACCTCAAGTTTATTGACTGTAAAAGGTGCAACTCAGTGCTAGGAGGCTGAAATACTCTAGACAAGATCTCAAGATCTAGCTTTCCCTTATAAATTGTTTCTATATTTAAATTCAAAAATCCTGAGCAGTCAAGCACAACAGATGGCTGTGCTGCTAATGGATCAAATTCACATGTGCACTCTTGTACTCGGAAAGGACAATATTACTCGCAACAAGTTTAACTGACCTCTTCAACTGCATCACATACAGTCATTCCAGTCACTCCAACAAATTTATTCAGCTGATATGGTGAAATGAATGGGAGGGAGGCATGACATATTATTTCTCTCCTGGGAGTCTGAGGGAATAGGATTTCATTTCTTTCTCAAATAAAGATGATGCGCCATGCAGGCATGAATAACTTTATGGCCATCGATATTCACACTTTGACAAATAGGAAGAAGAGTTATGGCCATATGGGTAATGGCTTTATTTCAGAAAAAAAAAGAAAAAAAAGAATGAGGAGTTTCATTCCAACTATTTGAAAAATGACACCGAGTACTCTGCCAAAGTGATTGTTGGTGTTGAATTAGAATATATAATAGATTACTGAACGTTACTGTGATTTAAATGTTCCTATCTATTTTCTAAACTGCTTATCCTGTTCAGGGTCACTGGGGGCCTGACACTACCAGATCATTGGTCAGGTCGCTGTATCACACATATACAGTACACTAATGGATACATTCAGAGTTTTCAGAGCCTGACCCACGTGTCTTTGGAGCGAGAGGGAAAACCCATGCCTTATCTTTCATATTTAACACCTTCAGGATTAGAAAATGAAACATTGTAGTTTAATAAGCAGCCAGCCTATGGTTTGGTATTTACTGTCCATCACCACTGCACACAGCACTCTGAACGTCCTGTGCTCACAGTGAAGCTGCATAACCTCCAACTCTGAACAAATCTAACCTGGTGATTTCTGATGTAGGTTTTCCAGTGGCTAGCAAGCTACACAGACTTAACATGTAACAAAAGACAACTTTGGCGCTACCTGGAGGCACATTCATCCTCTTTAGGTAGAGGGTAAGCTGACTGACCGAAAGTAGAGAGACGAAACTGATATCAACCCTCCATCAAACTACATGCACAGGACAGAAAACCAGTCGACTCCCTAGCTCAACGTGACAGAGCATTACTGGGATTAGTATCTGTAAGAAATTGAAATTGTTATCTTACACTACTCATTAAAGTAACCACATTACTGTTACATGTTAGGAAATAATGTGTTACTGCTCAACAGTGTTTATAAGCAATAAAATGCAGCTTTAGTTCAATACTTTGAGGACCTCTGCTGCTTACTTGGTCTCATACACTTGCTAATTTTAGCAAACTTTAGATAATATAATGTTATAATACTGATATTATTGAGTCAATTAGCTAGCTTGATAATGTGTAAAACCTTAGTACTCAACACTGTTCATAAGCAATAAAACACAGTTTTGCTCAATTCAAAGGGTTTTGCTGTTTAGCCTACTTGGTCTGGTATGACCAGTTGCTAACAGTAGCTCATGTTAGCTAATGTTAGCAGACTTTAGATATATAAAATACTGTGTAAGTGACACAAGTGAGACACTTTGTTGATTTTATGACTCCTCACCCCTATGCTACTGTCACACCATGTTTTAGCATTTACCATTATCCTATAATTCCAACTTGTGGCCACTGATAGGGAAGGAGTGAGCATGCACAATACCAGGGTGCTGAAACTGAAGCAGCTAAATATAATATCATAATATCATATATCAATAAGTTTAATATTTACATATGTGCTTTTCCTTCTGAGAAATATCTTAGTGGCTCCTTATTGACAATAAGATTTAGGTTAATGTCACACTGACTAACACCTGTGGATGTTTACAATGAGACTTAAAGGGAGTATCTTGCACAAACAGGTCAATGAGGAAATGTATTGCTTAAGCTGTTGATTTAAGCGCACCTTTTACGCAAGTGCATGCGATTATGTAAATGATAAACCCAGCAGGTGGATAGCTGCATCTCAAATCTACTTCAACTGATGCTGTAACAAGCGGTGCAACATGTAATACTGATAGTTTGACTTATCACTGAGGTGTGCTGACAAAATAAACACAGTGTATTGAGCAGGATGTTCTAAAATATCAGACATCATTTCATGGAAGCATAAACAGATAAGCAAAAGCAGATTATCTTTGGTAAAATGTTGCATGTTGACAGTGACAACTGTAGTGAGAATGAACCCAAGATTGCAACAAACTGTGTAAGATTTGAGATAATTCAACAGGAAATCTAGCATTTGATGTTTTTTTTTAATATATCTAAGAACCAAACGTGTGCCTGAGTTGTGCCAAAACACTGAGTGGAATATATTAGAATAGCTTATCTTTTAACATACAAATTTACATGTTTGTTATCTTTAGCTCCAATAGCTTCAGGTGAAATCCAAAAAGTGAAAAATGTATGAAATATTTTATTTAACCTGGTAGTCAAAGCTTCTTCTGTCATCAACAAAAAAACAGTCAGTAAGTCACTCTCTCTGTCTCTCTCTCTTTTTCTCTCTATCTCTCTCTCTCTCTCTAAGCAGGCCAATACTTTGGACAACTTGGTCAAATTAACCCCAGAAACAAGCATAAAGCTAACAATCCCAGTGAACTGTGTTGGGGAAGGAACTGGAAACAATAGCTGACATTCCCACTTTGTAACACTGCTCCAGTAACCCTGCCACACACACTCACAAAAGGATAAACACACGCGCTCGCTCACATATGCTCACATATGCGCACACACACACACACACACACACACACACACACACACACACACACACAAGTACACAATAATCCCATCACCACACACACATCGAGAACACATACCCACACACAAATTCCCCACTTTTTAGCTCGGTGCAGTCCCTAAGCTACATGCTAAGCCCTCGGCCATACAAGGCAGATCCTCTCTGCTCTGCACTGACATACTTTTCTTTGTGCTTGAAAAGAATCTTAGCACTGGCAGTCAGCCAGTGTGCACTGCCTATTCATACCACAGGGCTCAGTGTGTTACTGAGAGCCGGAGAGGTCTGCTATCTGCAAAAAGTCAGCTTTTCAGGCACAGAGGAGGGAAAAGGTTTATTCTCTAAAGTCTGGAACTTGTTCTGAACTTGAAGGAAAGCATTCAAATGTTTGTTTTGTTGCTGTAAAGCTGCGGAGATACCTGAGAATACTGATATAGAAGACCGGTTTCATTTCAGGTCATGCAATAGTCTACGTCTACCGTCCATTTCCTGCAACGATTTTAGAATGAATGGCATCTATTTTATATTTTTTCCATTAACTTGTTTTTCGTCAGTTTCAAAGTTTGGCACCACTGCATTTGCTCCAAATAAAAGACTTGTGACGATTAAGCCGAAGAGGACAAGCTTTAACATCTCCAGGAGACAAACTACAAATGATCAGTCACGAGGAGGGCCTAGACAGCACAAAATTAAAAACAAACATTAATATTGTCATTTCCACAGCATTCAAAGCATAAGTGATGAAATTAGTGTGACCTGGAGCGTGACACTCTGTGTTTGTGTTGCTGACTCGATTCTCAGATGAGCCCACTGTAAACACTTGAGACTTCCAGGTGATATTGATGTGTTTTCTTATAAAGCCATGGAGTTTAAACCTTGGGAGTTGTGAAAAAAAAACAAAAAAACTTTTTCAACATATTTCTCCCGATGTGCCAGAAGTATTGTTTGTATAGATGTAGGATGGATATCATTCATAGGATTTATGGATGTGATTCCAACTGACATGATATCTAAACCCCTGAGGCACGACTGCTTAGACCTAATAATGATCAAATTAACTATTAATATCCACTTGAATTTAACAAGGGGGTTAATTTACATACATGCTGGTTACCTACATATAATAATAATAATAATAATAATAATAATAATAATAATAATAATAGAGGGGCAAATAAAGTATATCACTTTAAAGTTTGGAAATGTGTTGGCTTGCAGAGAGTTAAACAGCAATACTGATACCACTCTCTTAAATATAAAGCTACAACCAGCAGCTGGTTACAAAATCTGCCTCCCAGATTGCGTCAGGCTGAGAAATAGTCCATCAAACCACAATCTGATGTTTTTACATGTGGGATTTTACATAGATTAA